CTCTTCTCCCAACGGAATGCTAACAGGAGCGGAGGAAATGGTCTGAAGTTGGGGCAGGGGAGGTTTAGATTAGATATTAGGAAGAATGACTTTCCAGAGAGGGTGGTCAGGCACTGGAACAGCCTACCCAGGGAGGTGGTGGAGTCACCATCCCTGGAGGTATTCAAGAAATGTGTAGATGTGGCACTTGAGGGCATGGTCTAGTGCCCGAGATTGTTGGGTTGTGTCTGTTTGTGGGTGGGTGTGTTTTGGGGTTTTCTGTGGTTGGTTTTGTTTTGGTTTTTTGGTTTTGTTGTTGTGTTTGTTTGTTTGTTTGTTTGTTTTGTGGTTGGACTCGATGATCTCAGAGGTCCCTTCCAACCACTAAGATTCTGTGATTCTGTGGTTGAGGCCCCTTCCCTGGAGATATTCAAGGTGAGGCTTGACGAGGCCCTGGGCAACCTGGTCTAGTTGGGGGTGTCCCTGCTGACTGCGGGGGGGTGGGACTAGATGACCTTTGGAGGTCCCTTCTGGCCTGGGCAATTCTATGATTCTATGAATAAAGTCTCAACGTCTTACCCTGAAAGGAAAGCAAAGGAGTAGGCACTGGTCTTGGAAACGAAAGCCGACCGATGCGTTTGCTTGCCCTGGAACGGTTCTTCGTTCTCTGAATCCGAGAGACGTTCAGGAAACTGAAGTCAATCAAGGGAGAGTTAGCTGACACGCACAACAAAAAGAATCACTTGGAAAAGAAAGCTCGTTCTTGCAAAGATATTAAAAGATTCCAACACCCTCCCCCCTCTCCCCTCCCCAAATTCTGATTACACCCGGATGGCGTAACCCAAGAACGCAACCCGCCGGCAGGTACCGTGCTCAAGCAGCTCTTCCCTGGAGATAAATAATCCTTCACTAAATATTGCAAAAATAAGCACACAGCTCCTATATTGTAGCTGTCAGTCAGCGAAGAAAGTTAATGTAATGACCATGAAAATGTGAGAAATCCTACAAGAAAGGTACTGAGAGAACGTTTACTCAGTACCCACCTACCAGCCCATCAGTCTTTAAATAAGAGCATTTCCTGCCGAGTCTCACAACTGAAGTGAGAGCCAAAACTCAGCACGAGGGATCTGTTGGATTCCTACACCTACACTGTAGAAGATTCATGGAGAAATGCTCATGGAAATTCATATATTCCTGAAGACCAAGGGCTAAGACAAAGCAGAGCCGTTACCTCTACAGGTTTAATTGATATGTTTGGAAGAGGTGCAGCTTCAGTCATGAGTACAGTGGGTAAAAGAGGGGAGAGGAACCTCTAGAAGAACATCCATAGCCATAAGAAAGCTTAGAAGATGGTTCTAACGTGGGTCTTTATGATCTGTTAGCTCAGAACCTTCAAGGGCTACAACAAAATCAACCCAATAATCCTGGGAAGCTCCCTGTGTCAACGGATGAGCTTCAACGGGCAGGAACAGGAGACACTCAGCTCCTCAAGGTCTTAAACAAACTAGTTCTTGCTCCAGGACTGAGTCCTGACAGCATTTCACCACCAGTGTCTAAGATGTGGAGAGGAAAGAGAAGCCCACGCTTACTTACACACTCTTGGTTCACTTTAAACGTTAAAGATTCCTCTTTTTTCTGCTGCTCTTCCATTTTTCTTTTGCCTCCGTCCACGTCATCCAGAATGAACTTGTGAATCGGATCCTCTGAAGCTTTTTCTTCTTGCAGCTTTTCTTCTCTCAGCTGGAAATAATGACAAAAGAGACAAGGTATTCCAAACGCCGTAAGTCCTACACCTGGTTGCCTATAAGTGATTTAATTTTGTGCCTTCGTTGCTCTACTCTAGACTAGAGCTGCTGAATCCCTCACTGGTGATGATGAGAAGATGGGTAGGTTTCTACCATGCTTTGACGTACGCTCTACACAAATAAATTGATATTTTCATTCTAAAACAGCAAAGGGGTTGACAAAGACTTCTCTGCCAAAAGCTTTGTCTTGTAGATAATGGTACTACAAATAAAGATGGGCAAAACAGGAGTTTCCTGCAAGCCATGGCATTTCAATTTTAGGCTTCAAATGGCCTCCAACACAGCACACACCGTTTGGCAGACACATAGACAGCCTCCAGCCTCCAGCCAACTGGAGACCCAAATTAAAACCGGTTAAATACAGCAATTCCCAAGTTGAAACCCACATGTTGCACGAAATCCTGCTGTTTCATTGATGTGTTGGGATGGAGAAGGCCCAGAGAGAAGACCTAACCCTCCCATGGCCAACTGGAGGCCCAAAGTTGACTTTGGTTTACCTGCTGAGGTGCAAACGTGGATGAGAAGCCCAAATGAAGGCCAGGATCCAGGACACAAGGTAGGTGGGTCCATGGGATTGAATTTACATTTACCTCTTGGTGTCCTACTCTGCCCCGTGTAGTCAACCTCTTACTGAAATCCCTTTTAAAATGCTTTTTTCACACCTTCCTGCACTTTAATAAGTCTGATCTGAAGAAGGCACCGAGCACTTCCAGCCTTTTTGGCATCACCTCCTACGAGGAAAACTTCCCTTTTTGTTTTTCCCCAATTCCAAGGCATTCTGAGATGGTTTTGTTACGGTTTGAAGAAACCACAACAATTTATTGTTGTTTAGACAATTATTTTATCGCCCGATGAGCCCTCCCCACCAGGGAAAGGGGAATTGGGAAAAAACAAGGAAACCCGAGGGTTGAATATAAACAGATGAAATAGAATAATGCTAAATAATTAACACTGATAATGCTAAAGAACCAATATTGATCCTGATATTGATATAAAATACACGAGGACTACACTCAGCTCATTTTATGGGTCCAGTGTGAAGGCCCCACAGAAACCCCACCCAACTGCCAGGGCATCCCCAAGCCGTGTCCTGCTGCACTTTCCAGCCTTTTCCTTAACATATTGATCCTGATATTGATATAAAATACACGAGGACTACACTCAGCTCATTTTATGGGTCCAGTGTGAAGGCCCCACAGAAACCCCACCCAACTGCCAGGGCATCCCCAAGCCGTGTCCTGCTGCACTTTCCAGCCTTTTCCTTAACTTTTTTTTTGCTCTGCCTTCTAAAATGTGCCTCTTCCATTTGCTGCCAGTGCCCACATACTCCTTTGCCTTCCCAGAAGATCCCCTGCCCATACTCCAGCTTGTGGAAATCCAGTAATAAGGCAAGTGGATTTTAGAGAAGGGCAGTCTTCTTCCTTCCCTCCTTCCAAAAAGCACAATCCATCACTTAGTGATCCCTTTTAACCAATCCTGGTCAGTCCTTAAGTGTCCACAAGCTCCTCCTGGCCAAGCTCTTTGCCAGGAAGGGTAATCACAGAATCTTCTAGGTTGGAAGGGACCTTCAAGATCATCTTGTCCAACCGTCAACCCAACTGACAAAAATAGACACCCACACAACAAACAAGGAGCATCATCACTAAACCAGACCTCCCAGCACTACATCAACCCGTCTTTTGAACACCTCCAGGGATGGTGCCTCAACCACCTCCCTGGGCAGCCCATTCCAATGGCTGAGAACCCTTTCAGTGAAAAAATTCTTCCTAATATCCAGCCTGAACCTCCCCTGGCATAACTTGAGGCCATTTCCTCTTGTCCTGTCGCCTGTGACTTGAGAAGAGACCGACCCCCACCTCTCTACACCCTCCATTCAAGGAGTTGTAGAGAGCAATAAGGTCTCCCCTCAGCCTCCTCTTCTCCAGGCTGAATAACCCCAGTTCCCTCAATGATAGGACAAGGGGAAATGGTTTTAAATTGGAAGAAAAAAGATTCAGATTAGATCTCAGGAAGAAATTTTTTACTCTGAGGGTGGTGAGACACTGGAACAGGTTGCCCAGGGAAGTTGTGGCTGCCCCATCCCTGGAAGTGTTCAAGGCCAGGCTGGATGGGGCCTTGAGCAACCTGCTCTAGTGGGAGGTGTCCCTGCCCATGGCCAGGGGGTTGGAACTAGATGATCTTTGAGGTCCCTTCCAACCCAAACCATTCTATGATTCTAAGCTCTCCCTGCAGAGATTCCTTTCTTCCTGAACCAAAGGATCATTCCCACCAGGATCCGTGACTCCAATGGGCTCCCCGTCCTGCTGCACTATTTTACTCCTCCTCATCTAAGAAATCAAACTCCCCATTTCTGCCAGGACCTCTTTTCTGCAGATTTGCAGCTCAAACCCAACGAACTTCCTTCTTCTCCTCCTTTCCACCACCTTTTTGTGCAGCACACACTTCAGGTAACACCATCCGATCGTCCCTGCCCAGGATAACGTCACCCAGTTCGTTTCCTTCATCACCCAACCATTCACCCAGCTCCTCTCTCACCTCTCCCTCAACCTCAACCTTAGACAAAGGCCATGAATAGTCTATGTATGTATCTACCAGGTTCTTCCTTCTTCCTCCACCCACCCTCTCACCTAAGTTATCCTCGTCTGGGACACCAAGCCTGACCTTTGATTGACAGATCTCTATCACGCTGATGAATCACAGCTCTGGCTGAACACCAGGAATTCAAACACTTCTGTTCACTGCTCACATATGAGTGCAGGAATCTCAGATGCTTGAGGTTTCACCCTGATACATCCCCTCCCATCTTCTGACACGGCCACAATTTTCTCCTCACCTCCTGGGAGAGAAGAGCTGTGGGACCTGGTGCCCTCCAAGTGTCCTCTGCCCCTCTGGGACCTCAGCACAGGAGAGACATGGACCTGTTGGAGCGGGGCCAGAGGAGGCCACCATGGAGATGCTGGGAGGGCTGGAGCCCCTGTACTGAGAGGACAGGCTGAGAGAGTTGGCGGGTTCAGCCTGGAGAAGAGAAGGCTCCAGGGAGACCTTGGAGCCCCTTCCAGTCCCTAAAGAAGGGGGGCTCCAGGAGAGATGGGGAGGGACTCTTGATGAGGGAGGGGAGCCCTAGGAGGAGGGGGAAGGGTTTGACCCTGAAAGAGGGGAGATGGAGATGGAGATGATGAGATGAGATGAGATGAGATGAGATGAGATGAGATGAGATGAGATGAGATGAGATGAGATGAGATGAGATAGAGGGAGCTGAGATGTGGGGAAGAACTTGTTTGGTGTGAGGGTGGTGAGAGCCTGACCCAGGTTGGCCAGAGAAGCTGTGGCTGCCCCATCACTGGAGGGGTTCAAGGGCAGGTTGGAGGGGGCTTGGAGCAACCTGGTGTGGTGGGAGATGTCCCTGCCCGGGGCAGGGGGTGGCACTGGGTGGTCTTTAAGGTCCCTTCCAACCCAAACAATTCTATGAATCTATGAAAGCTCAAGGCACCCCCAGACAGCTCAAGCACTGGTCCTACAGCACTGCACACAAAGGAAATGGGTGACATTGCAACAACTCCTTGTTCTTCCAAAAATATCTAGTATTTTTCCTCCCTGCTGCAAGAGAGGGGGGCGAGAGAAAGCGTGGACACGTGGGTGAATCTGCCCTAAAAGGTGAAGAGATAAAGAAAACAGAGTCCACGATACATTACACAAAAAGCACATCATGATTTTGAGACCGGGAAGAACCCGAATCCTACTGAATCCGAACCCCCCGAGATGAGGGAGAAGGAGGCAGGAGGAGAGAAGGTAGAAAACAGGAAAAGAAAACCCCAATGTTTGGCTGATTGTGGGTGCTCAGCACATGTTTTCAAAGCCTGGTCTGACTTCTCCTTTAGAGTTGTTTTAAGATGTATCTTTACATTCCTCATCTATTTATATTCTCCAGCAATAACTACACCACAGTGTCTGACTAATACAGATTATGGCCACGTGATGCAGACGTGAGGAATTGTCTGCTGTACTTTTTATGAACAATATTTCTGCCTTTTTAAAATATCTGAAAACCAAAATTCACATCAACATTTATCACAAAGATGACTTTTTTTCTGGCCAGCTGAAATACTACCCATCGCTTGTGCCCCTTCTGTATTTCTCACATGGAAATCTTCAATTTTTGGTCTAACTTATAAAAAAATTATACTCCATTCCCACATCTAAAGCCACAAAGAGATGTTAACAACATACAGGAATATTTAAGGATTTTGGGGTAAACCCATAGGAGAGTTAAAAGCACGAGCTCTGGGGACAGTGAAAAAAGCAACACCAGGATCCTAATCCTAATGAAAAGGATACAAAAAGGAATTTAGGTCCAGGATTCAGATCGCAAAAGGAAACTTTACTGATAAAATCTGTACTAATTAAAAAAAAATAAATCCAATTTTCAGTAGCCCAATGTAAATGATCTCCCAGAGAATTCACTTACAAACGTGGCAACGCTGTGCTGGGACTAGAAACTGAAACAAGGTGGTGGGGAACATCTAATCCGGGAGAATTTCTTTATGTTATCAGAGTAGCATCTTTCAAATACTGGATGAAGGACCATCTGCTGCTAAAAAAGCAGCACATTTATCAGAAAAAACCTCATTTTAACCTTTCTGTCGCCCTTTCGGATACTAGAAATGCAGGAAAAAAAAACCAATGCCATAGAAGGAATCACTAGTTTTTTTGCTCAAGAAGCGAGAATTTCCGGAAGATGGTTCTTGATCTTAACATTTATTTCCCAAAGTTGGGTAAACTCACGTTTGGCATCTTCCCTTCACTCCATAAACTCTCCGGGGTTCGTTTGCTCCCTCCCGGAGCCTGCTCCGTCTGCCCCGTGGGGCTGAAAAGCTGCGTGTCAGCACATGCCTCAGGTAGGAGTTTCCCTCCCGACACGGGCGGCGTGTGATTACAAGCATTTAAAAGCACTGGAGTACACAAAGGCACTTGAACAGGATGACTTAGGCTTTTTTAACAGGCAGGAACCATCTCCTCCTTTTGGAAAAACAGAAAATGTAAGAGCGCCGAGTGCGCTGCGTAAGAGGGGAATTAAAAATATCTCGCTCTCCTCCACCGACAGCAAAGATTTAGTCTCTGAAAGAAATGGATAAAATTACGCTACGAAATTATCCACTTTAAATCAAAATTCTTCAGTCTGTAATTAGGGCAACCTACTTGGTTGGGAAGGAGGTCAAGAGGTAAGATTTTGAAAACAACTCGCATCTGGGAGAGGTGAAAGCTTTTGAACTCTCCTCTCCCTTCCTGAGGAGGAAATTCTGGATGAGTTTTATCCCCGTCTCGTGAAACCTCTGGCCTCCAGACACAGAGGGAAGCCCAGTGATCCACAAGCTTCCATTCCCAAACCTGACTTCTTCTCTCCTCCTGCCTAATTCCGAAGTTCAGAGACACCAAGAAGCTCTCACTAAGTAGGTACAGTCCCAATTTTGCCTGGAATGAGGAAAAAGTGCGAGTGCATCACCAGTTGCCATTTTGCCAGCAAAATTACGTTGCTCTTCCCTCAGAGCTGATGATTCAGAGAATCTCCCCCACAAACCAGCTCCCTCAGATGAGATTCATAAAAAGGGAGTTTAAGTCAGGAGGGGAAAGAAATCTCTCTCCCATCCTCCAGCGAGCAAAAAGGGGAAGGTCAAGAGGAACGAGGCAAAAACATGCGCAAAATGCCAAAAACACCTTAAAAGTTATTTCCTTTTGACTGGTGGGGAAGTGAGAAGTGTCAGCACGTGGTGTCATTTTGCTGAAGTCAAATGGTGGTGCAAAAACCTCTTTGGCTGCAGCCTGACCATGCTTCAGATGTGCTTGAACTTTAGAAATAATATTTGAAGTCGGTAACGGAGTGATCAGGATTAAAAAGTGATGACAAAGTACCTAAAGATGTTTTATAGAATCATAGAATGGTTTGGGTCGGAAGGGACCTTCAAGACCACCTAGTTCTAACCCCCTGCCCTGGGCAGAGACACCTCCCACCACACCAGGTTGCTCCAAGCCCCCTCCAACCTGCCCTTGAACCCCTCCAGGGATGGGGCAGCCACAGCTTCTCGGGGCAACCTGGGCCAGGCTCTCACCACCCTCACACCAAACAAGTTCTTCCCCACATCTCAGCTCCATCTCCCCTCTTTCAGGGTCAACCCCTTCCCCCTCCTCCTAGGGCTCCCCTCCCTCATCCAGAGTCCCTCCCCAGCTTTCCTGTATCTCCTTGAGGGAGTGGAAGGGGCTCCAAGGTCTCCCCGGAGCCTCCTCTTCTCCAGGCTGAACCCCCCCAACTCTCTCAGCCTGTCCTCACAGCAGAGGGGCTCCAGCCCTCCCAGCATCTCCGTGGCCTCCTCTGGCCCTGCTCCAACAGGTCCATGTCCTTCTGATGTTGGTGGCCCCAGAGCTGGAGGCAGCACTTGGTGGGGTCTCCCCAGAGCGGAGCAGAGGGGCAGAATTACCCCCCCTCACCCTGCTGGCCACGCTGCTGAAGATGCCCCAGGGGCAGAATTACCCCCCCTCACCCTGCTGACCACGCTGCTGAAGATGCCCCCAAGCTGCAGGGGTCTTTCTGGGATGCTCACATTATGGATTATGGGAAAGAAAATGGTTTAATCCTTCAAGAGGATCCAGATCTACATCAGGCTGGAGCCACTTGGAAGAACCACAAAGCCAAGATGCCATCCCCATGAACTCAGGTGGTTCATAGAATCATAGAATCATAGAATTGCCCAGGCTGGAAGGGACCTCCAAAGGTCATCTAGTCCCACCTCCCCGCAGTCAGCAGGGACACCCCCAACTAGACCAGGTTGCCCAGGGCCTCATTGAGCCTCTCCTTGAATATCTCCAGGGATGGGGCCTCAACCACCTCCCTGGGCAACCTGTTCCAATGCTCCACCACCCTCCCAGTGAAGAACCCTCTCCTCATCTC